CTGGAGAGAGGGAAGTCTGGGCATCTTTGCTTAGACTGCTGCCCCCACGACCCGGTTCCGGATAAGTGGAGGAAAATGGATGGATGGATGGACCTTGTGGTCCAGCAGAGGGCGCTCTTAAAATGAACAACTTGACCTGTTTGTCCTCATCTGCTGCTTGTCATCATCTACACTTTAAAAATATTGGACCAGTTTCATAATATAATGTACAGTGTGAAGGACAGAGTGTTTGCTGTTTACTCAGTTGGATGTGTTGATGCCTGCTCACCTGTTTGTGTCTCTCTGTAAGGAGGAGGCATGTGTGGATGTGCTGAAGGCATACATCTCCCTTTTGATTCAAGATCAGCAGACCAACCTTGTAGCGAGCTATGTTGGGCAGCTACCGGCTGAGCTTGCCACTGCTCAGTACGCAGCTTTTTTGGAGACCATCACCCAGCCGGAGCTCCGTCCCCGCTGCCTGCAGCTCGGCACTGATGCCGGTGAGACTGAAAATATTGAAACATACACACTGATGTCAGTGAGACAGTAAACAATATTACTGAGAGAATACTGATATTTTTTGTTTGTGTAGGTCTGGATGTCGCTGCAATAACCAAGCTGGTGGTGGAGACTGTGAGAGAGAGAGACGACGCTGAGTTTACACATCACAGCCAGACGCTGGAGACTGGAACTACCAAGGTACAGAGGAAAAATCAGTGCAGTTGATTTAGTCCACAAAATGATGTTTATTTACTTGCACATTCAAAATATAACTTTTTATGAAAAATGTATAATTGTCACTCACACAAATATTTAAGTTTAATTTACACAAAACATTAGCACCTCTAAATGAAAATATAACCACATCAGAGGAACGAGACGATGATGTGTATTAGGACATGAATGAATGAATGAACCACTGAAGTGTGTGGGGGGGGGGTGCTGTGCTTTGATAGGAGGACCAAAGAAAGATCAATGTGATCGATTGGCTGCTGTTTGACCCCGCCCATCGAGCTGAAGCCCTAAAGCAGTCCAACGCCATCATGAGGAAATTTTTAGGTACTTTTGCTTTTGGTGTGTTACGTATATATTCATTATCACTGTCTGAACCCTTTGTCTGCCTGTCATAGAGACTGGTCTAGGCTTCTGTCACTCACCATGAGAACTATGATGCATTTCTTCCATCTGCCTGTCTTTCAGCCCTGCAGAAACATGATGCAGCCAAGGCGGTGTTCTCTAAAGTCCCAGAGGATTCAGTGAAGGAGATCTGCTACCAGTGGACGGGGCCTGATCACACCACCTTACCTGCTGAGGACGAGAACGCCATCAGAGAGCACCTGTGTATTAGAGCCTACCTGGTCTGTTACTAGTCTCTGTTGTTTTCAATAATATCAACAAATTTAGCTGTCACAATAGTAGGTATGACTGTTATAGTTAAAATAATAACATCACTAGACTATTCCTTTAGCAGTACTCTTTTTAATATTGTACTCGAATTAAATAGTAAGCCTTTTTCCAGTGCAGAAATGTAATGACCCTTGACCTAAACTTTGAAGAACCCGTCATGCTTTAGTGCAATGTAACCTTAGGTTCATATAATTGTGAGCAGACAAGTGGAAAAGCCATTCACGTCAGCACCCAACATGTAAATGTGAATCATGAATTTCTGACATTACTTGATGACAAGAATTACAGACATGTTAAATTGTTGGCGCATTGCACCACAGTTGGCAGTTGCATCAAAATAAAACCCAGTGTTAACATTAATACCATTGATTAATCTAACTATTGTGGTTTCACAAGCTGCTACAAGTAAGTAATACAAGAAAAGAAGCTATTTTGTTTTATATGGATTGACCACACCGTGAGCAGTGCTGCCTTGTCAGTGACATATAACCAAAATTCTCTGGGTTATAAACAGTGGAGACACGGGGCACGATCTCAAACCATATACTGACAGGTTGACAGGTTCTGAAGTCATGGTAAAGCAGAAATAAATGTCCTGAGGTTTTCACACCACAGGAAAATGTGTTATTAACCACCCAGCTGAATATCAATGATTAAAAAGATCGCCGGGTAAATAAAGTTAGCTTTCAGAATCTTGAAAAACATAAGTAGTATTCAGGTGAAGACAGTTAAACCACATACAGTGGTGGAAACGTGCCATATGTTCTCATCATGGATGTATTAAGGGAGAATATGTAGTAAAGATGCATTTGCGGGGCAAAGGCTAGCTAGCTGGCAAACTGTAGGCTGTTGTAGGCGTAGTAACTCATGATCAAACAGGAGAACTGGTGCTAATGCGCTAGGGCTCTACAGGAGAACTTTATCAGAGACCACTGAGTCAGATTAGAAATATGGTTTTGGTGTTTATGGAGCTGCTTCTCCTTTGTGTTGGTTTGTCAACAAGCGCTCCCAACACACACACAGGGAGCAGACTGCTGCTGTCCAGCAGTGGAGACAGGGAGCCCAGAAGAAGTGAAACTAAAGTTTATAATACCTATGATTGTTAATGTTCAAAATGTGCAATAAAACTTTCAAGTAAACAGAATCTCCTGCTAAACAAGCATAAACCTGCAGAGAAGTGAAAATTTAAGCTTTGCCCAAGGTCTGTGAACTTGTTAGGCTAACTGCTAACTGTGGTGACCTGTCCAGTGCAGCAGCAGCAGCAGCTCCACAATGTGCTGTGCAGCATCTCTGCTTCCGCCAGCCATGTTTGGTTCAGACCTGCTCCAATGCATTCACCGTTCACATGTTCCTACTTCTGTCATTGTTTAATACTGAGGCAGCAGCATTAATGTTAGTTCTTTTAATAAACATAGCTGTGGCTGTAAGGTTTACATCGTTGGGGAGGTGTTATGTTAAGGATCCAGCATGTCACTGAGCCACACTTTCTGCCCTGTCCAAAAAATCCTGAACTCAAAAATGATGAAACGGTCTAACTCCACTGTTCAGCACTACATCATTCTGCCTTTTCATGTTTTCACCAACTATTTTCTGTCATGTATGTGTTTAGAAACTAATCAGTTTTTGCTGTACCCCGACTTTGTAAGTTTCAGGCTACAGGACGCTGCGGGTTAGAGCTAACAGAGTACTACAGGCACTGTGCCATAGCTGCAGCATCACTTTGCTGTTCTGCATCGATCAGTAAGGTTTATTAATCTGAATGTGTCTTGCAGGAAGCTCATGAGGCCTTCACTGACTGGTTCAGCCACAGTAGTTCTGCCCCCCCGAAGCCTGCACCTGCCCCTGAGGCTAAATTCACAGAGAGAGTAGCCAATGAGATGAGAGAAAAGGAGTACCAGGTATACACACACGGGGTTCCTGCTTTTTCTTATTTATAGAGAGTTTTACAATGCATTTTCATGAAAGGCGGGGTAAAAAGACTGCTGCCTAGTTACCATGGCTGCAAACAATGCAAGCTTTAAAGTACTTAGACACAGTGTGCTTTAGTGAGTAACACTGAATGTTTTGTTTATATAACAATGATTTAAAAATATCTGTTCATGTAAATGTATTCTCACTTGATTTGATCGGTTCATTTGAACGTCTCATCCCATCCATGTGTCAGGCTGACCTGTCTGCCTGGTCGTGCTGTCTGGACGTTCTGACTAAAGATGTAAAGGAAAGAATCTACAATGTGCTGCTGTTCGTAGACGGAGGCTGGATGGTCGACAACAGACAGGTTACTATTTATGGCTCGACACATGAACCACACATCTGGGGCATTTTCACTGCATCACACCACAAATCAGAGGAAACGGGGAACTAATCCTGTGTTTTAACTGAAAGAATCAGCGACTAAATGGTCACTACTGCGTGACTGATGACAACTCTGCAGCTTTCTGAAAGAATTTGGCAGCTGACATGAAGTCTGAATCCCTGTGAATGTTTGTGCATGGCACCTCAGGCCAAACTTTTTCTGTGATCCATGTTAACGTACCATCCCTGTCCTGGGAGTACTTTTCTCTTCACCAACATGATAATTAAAACTCATTGTTTCTAAATTGAATTGGATTTCTTGTTCAACTGACTTCTATAAGTGGTTTATTTCTAGTTTGGTCTTTTGATTGGCGCATAAATGGGCTTGTTTGGTTGTTTGCAGGATTCAGAGCAGGATTCAGAGCGCAGCCACCAGATGGCAGCGTTGCGCTCTCTGTGTCTGCCTCGCCTCAGCTTCTTACTGCTCAGCGTGCTGCAGAACTCCTCCAGGCACCAGGAGGCGCTGCGACTCGCTGACATCATCTCATCTGACCAGCACCGTCTCTACCGGGTGAGTAAAGCAACATTACATTTAAGAGACTTTCTTTGGGGTTTTTGGGGCATTTTGTCTCTTACATTTAAGAAACTTTCTTTGGGGTTTTTGGGGCATTTTTCACAGTTTTTACACTGACACACTCAGTAAATACATAAAAAAGAGTCCGATTATTTTGCACATGTGGCTGTGCTATTAACCAGCTTCAGAGATGTCTGGAGGGCTCTTGCATATTTTTTTAAATGAATAGGTGTAAAAGTAAATGATTCTTACTTTTGAAGTCCAAACTTTCACTTTAAGCAGTTATAAAGATGGGCCCTGTTCTCTGAGTTTTATGGTCAGTTTGACTGTCTCTGCCTTTCTCTCTCCACAAACTCAGGTCTTCTCCAAAGAAGAGCTGAGAAGGTTTCTTCAGAAGCTGAGGGAGTCATCACTCGCTTTGTTGGACCGAGGACTTGACCCACTGGGCTATGAATTACAGCCATGAACACACAAAGAAAATACACACAGCACCTTCTGAATTAGTGTGTTTTTTTTTTTTTGGATTGTGTTAATCTTTTTGTAAAATAAAAGCCTGTGTTTTCTGCAGCAGCTTACTGTAGGCTTTATTTCATCCTAATAAAACTGTAAAGCTTTTACTATGTCTTGAAATATTAACTGCAAGCAGATAAATCTTAGCATTTTGTGCTCCGATCTAATTAAAATGTAAAGACTATACAAATGGTTAGGGATATTGGTAAAACTCTCATAATATACTATTAAAGCTACCAGAGAAAATGTTAATATTTGATATGACAAATTATTAGGGCTAGTGAAATGAGATAAGAATAAGGTCATAAAGGTTCTGAATACTTCCTCCACCAGTGACGCACACATTGTAATTTATTTCCTAATAAATGTTGCATATTAACGTAAATTGCACGTTTTGCCGATTAAAGATACTAAAACGAGGTAGTTAAAAGAACATGTTCATTATGTTGAAGTAATAGCCGGATCTGTGGCTGCAGTGTCAATATTCGGCCAGCAGGAGCGCCACTCAACTCCAAAACAAGAAAAGGATAACTGACTACTGCTTACTGCTAGCATGGTTATCTGGCGGTAATGCACCTAAAGCCATAAAAAAAAGACAGAAGAAGACAACGCATGGTTAACTTTAGTTAGTATAGTGTTTCGGCAAATTGGTCGGATAGGCGCTACAGTGGGATATTATTTATTCAACAGCAACTGAGAAGGTACGTATAATAGTTAAATTTACTGAAGCCAGGGTTTATTGCTGTAACCCCAGAAGTAGCACAAGTTAGCAGGTAGTTAGCCTCATTGTAGCAGGCCGCGGAGCCTCGGGTTTTCCTGGCTGAGCAGACGTGGACCGATGAGTGGCGGTCCCTGTTCGTCTGCACGCCAGTTTGTGAGGTTCTGATAGAAAAAAATGGTCCGACCTGTTAGTTGATACTTAACGTGAACACAAGCTAGGTTTGCTTTTTCATAAGTGTAAAGTTACAGTAAGTTAGCTAAATTAGCTAAACTAACGACTAGCCAGGCTGAGCGCTGACGGTTGTGTCAGCGCTGTTTTTGCATTTGATTTATGTTAATGGTTGAAATTATTGGTTTGCTTGTGGACACATTCATTTATGCATCATAACTCATGGTTGATAATATAACAATATTGTCACCATTCGCTTTAACTTGGTATACTCGTGCATTAGCATTCACAGGCTGTGCGCTCTGCAAACTAGCTAAATGTTTATAAGTTTCACTGCTTTTGAAGTCTGTCATGTGCTTGAACTGGACTCTATGCACATTTATCAAACATTGATGTATGTTGATGTGTAGTTAAATATATCCTGATGATGAAATAGTTCCGCCTGTCTTTTTTTTTTTAATCAGATCGTGTTTCGGATGTTAACGTTAGACAGTGAGAGTAGAGCGGGACAAGCCTGGGCATAGTTTCACTGCCTGAGTGTGAGTGTTGTGATAGTAACTATCCAACAGCTGACTCACGCAGTGTATCAGCTGTTTGTGAACAAGTTGTTCTTTCTGCACAGTCGCACAGACCAATGTCCAGACATGCAGTCGGGGGGTGGGGGGGCAGACAAACAGTGACAGTATGGGTTGAGCCTGGGCAAAAATAAAGGCTTTCACAGTAGATGGAAAGATGAGTATGTCTGGCTATATATTATTATTCTTCTGATTATTCTGCCAGTTATTTTCCAGATTAATTATTTGGCATAGCAAACATCAGAAAACTTAAAAATCCCCACAACTATAGCCTATATCCCAAAGTGAAGCTATGAAAGGTCCAAAACAACTTTAATGTTCAGATACAGAAACATCAAATTTACACATAAACAAGAGACAATTTGAATTTATTTTTAAAAAATCAAGGAGAAGAGGGCACTGCATGTAATTTGGATTACACAAAACATCAAAGCAAATTGTAAATAATGTAATTAATCTCTCTTGATTAATCTGTTGTAATCTTGTCTTATTCATGATTTTGTCAGTTTTTCTGAAGATGGATCTCTCCAGTGACCCCTGTGTTGAGATCAGGATGTTCTCTGTCACTGAGCTCAGTCTCAGTCCATCCTCTGAGGCATCTTGCTGCCTCCCAAACCCATAGAAGGAAAACAATATATTACAATAGGCAGCAGTAGAACACAAACTTTAAAGCATTTTTTCTGGTTACACATTTGATGAGATGCCCTCATGATATTTTTTATCTGTCTCCTTTAAAATATTTGTTTCCTTGGTTCTGAATATCTTTAATTATTTCTCTATATTACATTAAACATTTTTATACTTAAGGTCTTAAATATTCCCGTCTCTAATATATTACATCATAAAAATAAATTGCCCAATATTTCTGAGTGCAGGTGACTCTACTACTCTTGGAGTCTCTCCTGTCTGTCAGTCTGCAGTTTGAAATCTATTGTTAGGCAGGCTTAAAAAAGACTTTCATTTAAAAAATATATTTAAAAAAAAATCTAATTTAAGGGGCTGCCCAAAATGTTATGTGGGAAATTTAGCCAATTTTTATCTGCTGCCACATTCCCCTCAAAGTCTGAAGACAGTTCTGCTGTGGACGGACGCTCAGGCCCATGTCACATTCATGATTTACTGCTGGTTAGTGTGGGTGTTATCTGGTCAGCTGGTTATCTTAGTGTGACATGGACGAGTCATATTGAACTAGTCCTGGCATGTCTACTCAGAGCTGTATGATTAAATCAGCTGGTATGCTCAGTTGAAAGTGAACATACAGCCTGTTGCTGCTGACTCAGCCCTGAGCTCTAAGGCCCTGATAGGCTCCAGTCAGTCCAGGCCAGGACGTTGTTAGGCTGGTCTAGTCCTGACATGTCTGAACAGGCCTATAAAAGGCTGCAGCTCTGCTCTGCTCTGCTCCGCTCCACTAACTGCACTTTATCTGCTTTTACTTGCACAGGATGCACTGCTGCTAATATTTTTTTCCTCAGGGATTACTGGTAAGAATTTCATTTTATTAATGACTTATAGTACTGTGCACTTTAAATAACTATATACTTGTAAGACTGATTCACAACTGAATATTCAGTTTACTAAAAATCTTCAAACTGTCAAGTTTGAAAAGCTGGAATCTGAAAGTGTTGCCAGAAACTATTTGATTGTAGTGTAATTTAAGTAATGGGCCTATAAATTTGTGTAAACAAAGTGTAAATCGGTGTAATATGTTGTTTTACAAAATACATGTAACTAAAAGATTTCGACTGATGCTGATCTGATGTTAGTGTTGATGTGTGTAATCAGAAGTTTCATATCAGGCCCAGTTGTCAGTGTAGAGTCAACAGGTACAAGAGAACAAACTGACAGCGAATGTTCTTGTACTGGGTGGAACTGGTTTGGACCCTAGGTGGAGTGTTTTAGGATTTCCTGTCCTGTCTCTTCACATCATGTTTCCTAAAGCTAGGGTGTTGTGTCAAACGTCATTTAACTATCTGTACATTTCCTCTCACCTAAACATAGAACCAGCCTTGTCTCCACCCCCACCTATCCCTAAGCTAGCAGGTGATCACAGATGTAAACCAAATCTGAAATTCACTTGGAAATTATGCTAGCTAAAGTAATGAGATTTGATAAGAGGTTCATAAGGATTCCGATGTCATGAAATGCTACTGTTGGAGTATTTCATCCTGTATTGATCTAATCCATATAGTATGTAATAACCTGTTTGTGCGCAGACATCAGCTTCACAATGTCAGCTGACAGGCAGCTCAGCGTTGACACTGCTGATGACAACAAACTGGTGAGAACTGACTCTTTCACCGGCTGCAGACTGATCCCTGACTGTTTACTGTGTAAACTCATGTTTTCCTGTTTGTGTGTTTAGGTCAGACCGAAGGTAGAGTTCCGTTCTTTGCTGCAACATGCAGGAGCTACTAAAGATGTCTTCACCATGAAGGAGGTAAAGCCTGTGTGTGTGTGTGTGTGTGTGTGTGTGTGTGTGTGTGTCGGTGGCTTAACCACATACTTTTATACTTCTTCTGACCCATTTCAGATTCTGTGAGGTACTTTTTAAAACATATCTAAATACATATATAATGTGCTTGACAGTTGGATGCTTTAAAAACAAATTGAGCTTGTTTCTAAGTGCGTTTATTTTTGGGGAAAATCTATAATCATGTATTGGTCCCACCTAGAAAACATGGGAAATTATTATTATTATTGCATTCGCTTGTTCCTCTGGGCACTAATAGTTAAATAATAAACAGACGTGAGAATAGTTAAACATACTAGAATGAATAGTAATAGAACACATGAGGCCATGAAACAAAGGAAGGAAACTAGTATCAGTACCTACAGCAATATTTCCCAGTGAATTTGATTCACATTCTGCTTTGTTCATTTCTTCCCATGATGCATCCGTGATGGTCTTCCTGCAGGTGATGTTCTATCTGGGTCAGTACATCATCCAGAAGCAGCTGTATGACCAGAAGCAGCAGCATATCGTCCACTGTGCCCAGGATGCACTGGGGCGGGTGCTGGGAATCGACAGCTTCTCTGTTAAAGAGCCACGGTGAGAAAGAGATGATTGATGATTGGTTGTTCAGGTTTGCTCTCACAGGGAAGGTTAAACTAATGTAAAGCATCAGATTTTGGAGGTAAAGATTTAAACACGAAAAGCAATGCTGTGGTGTAGGCTTTGCCACTGAGGTAACTGAAACATGCTTCTGTTTCAGGCTTCTGTTTGCAATGATCACCAAGAACCTGGTGGCTGTGAAGAGCCAAGGTAGGACTGCTCCTCTCATTCTCCTCCTCACCTTCTTCAGGCTGTTCAAGGTCACATTTATGTCTGGAACAATAACTGAAAAGATATCAAATACACTTGTGCCTGAGTCCCTTACCGCCTCAGGGCTCATTTGTAGCTAAATTCAGGGTTTACCCCCGTCACAGTACTCAACTGCTGGTAACAAAGTGTGGGATCTATGTCACTTAACTGCCCAGCCTCATAGCCTTAGACCTCTCTTTCCTCTTCCTTCTCTTGCCAGCTGGCCAGATAAATCCGACTTCCTTTCTCTGTCTTTCTTAGAGTTGCCGCCAAGCTCGGTTGAACCCCACAGCAACAGTGAGACAGACAGAGGGACAGAGGTAAGACAGCCTTATAATACAACTGGAAAAGTTAGATCTTTCAGTGCTCTGATCACAGGACAGTTCAGGAGCTTTTCTGTTCATATGTGATCTGTAATATGCTGCTGCACAAATCTTAGTGCAAAGATCATTTTTTTAAATAACCGAAGCATCAGATAAGGAAAATGCTGAATTTAGTGAAAGACAATAACACTTAAGACAAAGAGCACAGGTGTCTTACATGGCTTTTAATGGTAGACAAAAAGCAGGGCAAACGATAAATCCCAGATTTTTAAAGGAAGTTTGGTCTTTTTTTGTGCAACGAAGACATCACGGTCTGTTCACTAATCATTTACCTGTTTATTGGGTTATAAACAACTTTACACCACAAAACTGGGGAGTGAATTTGAATTGCTCCTAATCTAAATGTGTTTGTGTTTTTAGGAGGCAGGTTCAGAAAGTCGCTCTTCATCACCGAAGAGGAGGAGACGGAGGAGCAGCAGGAGCAATGAACCAGGTGACTTTCTCCTTTGAGGCACCACCACCTCCTTGCAGCTCATAAATAAACCAGTGATAATAAACTCCACCCACCTGGTCTCCTCAGGGTCCTCACATAGCGTAGAGGATGAGGAAGATGAGGAAGAGTCAGAGGAGGAAGAGGAAGAAGGAAGGAAGAGGAGGAGGTCTGACAGCTACTCCCTGACCTTTGATGGCAGCTTGTCCTGGTGTGTGATTGGTGGTCTGGGGAGTGGGCAGGACAGACGTAGCAGCCAATCATCTGAGTCACGCAGCACGGTGAATTTTAGATGTGTACACATACTGGCTTTGTTATGTCAATGTCGAGTTGTTGCATCTGTTTATAACTTGGACTGTGTGTGTGTGCTCAGTCTGAGAGGTCAGAGGTCACAGTCGCAGCCTCAGACTCAGACAGTGACAACTTCAGTGTTGAATTTGAGGTCGAGTCTATCGACTCTGACGACTACAATGAAGATGATGCCTCTCTGTCTGCAGATGACCAGGTAAACAGCCCAACCATGTCACCAGAGTAACACCAGCTGTGTCAGATTAGGTTAATATTCAAATTCTTAGTTATTCTAAATGATTAATTTAGAGCTGAGAATTTCACTCACACCTCAGATGACAGTGTTAGAATTAGCAGCCGCAGTTAGAAGTGTTAGAGCAGACATGTATACATCACAGCCTGGTCCTGGTATAGTAGGCTACAGCAGTGTCTTCCTGTTCTGTCATGGAAATCTGTTGGCCAGAATGTCTATGAACCTTGTGTATCTGCACCAAAACCCCTCTTCTTATTCGTCGACCTGTCTGTGTCCAGGTTTACGAGGTCACCATTTGTGAGGCTGATGATGACGACTCCTTTGATGAAGACACAGAGATCAGTGAAGCTGTAAGTCTACATACAAACACTCATTTCAGACACACACACCTGTTTTCTGGGTTTAACTCTGTGTTTTTGTCTCAGGACTACTGGCGGTGTGCAAAGTGCGAGGAGCTGAACCCCCCTCTCCCAAGACATTGCCTCTGCTGCTGGACTTTGCGCCAGGATTGGCTGCCTGAGGCATCCGTCAACACAAGTAACTCCCCCTCCTCCAGTCCTAAAGCCTTCCCCACTAAACCATCGAACCAATCAGCAGCCAAAGAAAGTCCAGGTAGGTTTTTGTTACAGCCTGTGTTTGAGTCAGGACTGTCTGGTGTTGGGACACTGTTCTATTCATCATATGCATCTACCGAGTGCTTTGTTCTGTTTTTGATCACACTAAACAAAGGAGAAATATATTACAATTTATTAAATATTAAATGATTACTTTTATTAAAAAGTGGAATTAAAGTTGAATGGTGATGAACGCCATGCAAGATGTTTTGACATCACAGGGACATTGTCGCACTGTCATGCTGTGGCTCAAATTGTGAGGTTGGTTTTGTGTCACGGTCTTTAACCACGAGCTACTAACAGCTGCTTGATGGCTCCTGAAGGTACGGATGTCGAGGAGAATGAAGGAGTCGATGTTCCAGATGGGAAAAGAGCAAAAACTCCTCCTCTAACGAAGCAGGGTCTGTCTGACTCCACCTCCTCTGCTCCCAACTCTGAGGATCTCCACTCATGCTCCTCCTCCCAGGAGAAGCTCTGTACTTTTGACTCCCAGCCCTCCTCTTCCATCGACTCTCAGGAGCTTCTCCCATCTTCCCCCATTGCCAGTCCTTCATCTCCTCTCCCTGCAGTCCCAGAGCTGGAACGCAGCGTGTCGGCAGAGTGGCGGCTGCCGGAATCGTGCCTGGAACCGTGCGTCATCTGTCAGTCCCGGCCGAAGAATGGCTGCATTGTCCATGGACGAACCGGACACCTCATGTCCTGCTACGTGTGCGCTAGGAAGCTGAAGAAGAGAAATAAGCTGTGTCCAGTGTGCAGGCTGCCCATCCAGTCTGTCATCCTCACCTACCTCAGCTGAGACGCCCACTCTGTCCTCACTGGTCTGTTTTCACATTTAGTTAAGTGGAAAAACACCAAAATAAAGATCAGTTTAACTTCTCAGCTTTTGTCCATAGGCACATTTTATTTTCCTGTTTTCATGAAGTAGGTTAAAGGGTAGGTCTGGTGTTCTGTATTTTTCTTATGCTCAACAAACCCCATGAAAAGACCAACGTATTAGTGCATCTCTGTCCTGTTGGTGACACTCGGCCCAGAGCCCCCTGTTCCTACTGAAGTCTTTAATGTTTCAAATGGACGCCAAACAGTAGGGGAAGTAAAACACCCTTCACTATTTTCAATCAAAAAATAATTGGCAGAATAATCGATAAATTATTTTCAGACTTAATTTGAAAAGTATGGCTTTATTGAAACAGATTTGAGAATAGTTCCTGATTAATTTTCTGTGGGCCGACTAATTAATTGCTGCAGCTCTTTAAATGTTATTCAAACAGGAGTGAACAGTACATTAGCTGGACTATTTTCAGAGGCGGATTAATTTGGTGCTCTGATTTGCGGTATTAGGATCAACTTGTTGGTTTCGCTCTTTGTCATGGGGTTTAGTTACTATAAGAAAACATTCTCACCTTCTCTCGGGTCTGCTTCTGCCTTCAGCTGAACCCACTCGCACCCCAGTCATCCTGTTTCCATCTTACCCAGAGTCAGATGAGACGACCGGCATCAGTTTCACCTCATTTAGCACAGAGACTGGAACTGGGAGAAACTGCACCCAGCCCCATTTAAAATCCATAAAAATTGATTTATGTCACCTTATCTGAATTTGGGTAAAAAGCTGAATCAGGACTCCTGAAAATGTTGGACTGTTCCTTTAAGTTTTGCTTGAACATTTAATAAGACCTTTTATTTTATGGGTAATATTTCCTGGAGGGAATTCTGACATTTGATGCCACATAAATGGAATTTTCTTGATAGTTTTATTTAAACTAGAGCAAATCATGTATTCACTTATCAAACAGAGCTCTGCTGACCTAAAAGACTAATTCACAGTAGCATTTGTTTTTATTTATTTCCCTATAATGACTACCAAATTACACAGTTCTTTCCAGCAGACCTTTTGTAAATTATCAGCAAATTATTCAAAATGATGGACCCATGAAGTTGTCTGGTTGTAATTATAGTACAAATTTAAATTTCCTTTATTTAAATCTTCACTGAATAGTTATTGGAAACTTAAATGATCATAACCTTTATTTGCTTTAATAGTCTTGCTGTGTACTGACAAGCTAGCAGTCATTTGAAGACATAATTATTAATTTCGTTTTACATAATTATTTTCATCGAATTAGTTCCAAATTACATTGTTCTTTCCAGGAAGTGTCATAGGAAGTCATAACATTAGTGACAAATTACAGCATTTAAAACAAAGTCTTAGATCAATTTGTTATTTATGTTTATTTAAGAATCTCAAGTTTATTTAAACTTTTCTGAGCTCTTTTAAATACTTAGAGAAATTTATTGAGATTTCTAATTTCATCTGAATAAAGTTTAACTTCTGTAATCATGAGACTGTCGTTCATTTGAACCAATGGGCTCAACGCGGCCCCCTACTGGTTCTGGAATGTACTGCAAGTTAGTATAGTTCAGGTACTTCACTGTTTCCACTTTTAGCTACTTTGTATTTGTACACGTCAGAGGACTGACTTTTACTGCATTACATTCATCTGACATAGTTAGTGAACACATTCACAGTCAGCTGAGTTGGTGGTTAAATGACTAATTGACCTGCTTACCTGGGATCTGGCCTGCTGCAGGGTGTCCGCCAACAATCTTGCAGAGATGTCGAACTGAAAGCATGAAATCATCAGAACCGGTGGAAGCGACAGACGACCGAAGAAGTGTATATATGTGGTGGGTCTATATTAGAGGCATCTAAACACAAAGCACATAAGAACACGAGATGTTGAACTGCACCTTTTAATCTTTTGCCACAGTAGTAACATGGCAACAAGCACTTGTTGTACAACTACATACATACTGCCACTACAAATTAAACACAAGCATATCACTGCAAAACCTTATAGTAAAGGCAATGTGTGCAGCCAAATTACTTAGAAACTAAGTATAAGGCATACTGTTGTTTGTAAACAACAAGCAGCCTCATTCTCATTAAGGAAGGAAGACCACTCAACATGGCCAAGAACAGTGTCAGGATTTCAGAAGTCAGGGTCACAGAGAAAAATAACATGCAGAAAGAAAGAAGACAACAGGAGGCTACAGTGGAGGATGTTGAAGCTGTTGCTGGCTCAGAGTGAAGTTCTCCATTTAGACCACAGGGGGCAGTGTTACCATGTTTATCTCTACATTACTGAGTGGGTGACCAGCAGAGCAAGAGCAAGAAATATCACTTTTAATAAGTTGTGTTGCTGTTTAGATTTACTGGAGTAAAAAAAAACGAATGTTGCTGGATTGAATTCAAACAGTCTGGCTGTAAATATCAGCTGTTGGTGCTCATCAGCAGTAAGAAACAGAAACGAATGTTAAAGTACAAATACTTATAAACTGTACCAGGAAACATGTTCACCTGTTTGTCCACATCAGGTCAAGTTCTGCAGGAAAACAGTAAAACAGTGTTGGTGTGTTTTATTAGTGTGACTGACTCCAGTCAGTTTGTATGTGCTCAGTGCAGAAACGGTGAATCAGCTCAGCAGAGAGAAACCTTTCTCTCCACACACACACACCACAGCTGCTCCAAGTGATGCAACTTCAACACAACACATCACTGTTGCCTCCACACAGACACCGACTCGTTAACCCACTGTTTTCCTTATGGAGTTTGGATCTGCAGATGTGTGAACAGGCGTCCCTGAAGGATCACAAACAGGAGGCTCCTGTCAGACTCTGTGGCTGCTGTGTGTCCTCGCCTCAGGCTGCATCAGTGTGTGTCACCTAAACACACGTCTGCTGTGAAATATCCACACAAATTTGGGATTTCACTGCATTTTCTCCGCCCAGAGAACAGGACCAGGTGTATATTAAGAACAGACACATTTACACTTGTCACACCTTGAATAACAGGTTAGTCCAGTACTGGTTTAAAACCGTTTCAGTCTTTGCTCTAGACCTGCTCTACTGCTGAGTGAACAGAGAAAACAACAAAATCAGCAACTTCAGTCAATAAATAAACGTTTGACAGTGGGATTGTAGCGTAGCAGCACTAACCAGAATGTCTAACAGCCTTTCACAGCAGTAAGTGGATCAAAAAAGTCAGCAGGTAAACCTACACTCAGTGGTGAGATGCAGACCAGGGCCTGGGCCCGATCACAAGAGTTAGGGGTAAGAAAGCTGCTCATCCAATGAAATACAGTCAATAATCAACATGTGACCACTGAAAGATGTCCATCCTATTTTCTGTAGGTCCACACATATGATTTCTGGCTCCGCCACTGATGGAGACAACAGCACAAACACACACACTGTTCAAAGACCAAACTTGAAACACAGGAGATCGACCAGTTCCCTGTCAGCAAAAGGGAAAGACAAGAATGTCAGAATTACTTTTCAGGGTAACACAATATTTTTCTGGACATTTTACCGTTTCCCTCTTATTTAGAACTGGAAAACTGCACGGCTGAAACGTGACCAGATTTCACAGGTTGAGTGAGAACCCTGTGTGGAAGGGGAGAGAGATTACAGTGTCCATCCATCCATTATCTATACCACGTATTCCTGAATAGGGTCACGGGGGCTGGAGCCAGTCCCAGCTGACACTGGGCGAGAGGCAGGGTCCACCCTGGACAGGTCATCAGTCTATTACAGGGCTCATATGTAGACAAACTCACACTCACTCCTCCAGGCAGTTTAGAGTCACCAGTCAACCTAAGCTGCATGTCTTAGGACTGTGGGAGGAAGCCGGAGTACCCGGAGGGAACCCACGCAGGCACAGGGAGAACATGTGGACTCCACACAGAAAGGCCCCAGGTCGGCTGGGGATCGAACCCAGAACCTTCTTGTGAGGCAACAGCGCTATCCACTGTGCTGCCCGAGATTACAACTTGAAAGCTGATAAAACTGTAGAAGAGAACACTGGTGAGTTTTATTGAAATGGAGGAAAACAACGGTGTAGTTTTTTGGGCTCGTAAAGTAAAAGTTGTCTAACTTTGTTAAAACCACAAAGGTGTCAGTTTCTTATAGTGAAGGCAGTAATTTTAAAGAAAACGGAGAATGAGATCAGCCCAATGCAACATCAAAAGTGTGACACTGAAAAAACAAAGACATCAAAGCAACAGAAGATCCATTTGTATAAACATGTTTTATTGGATATTTGGAGTCTCAGATCTGGATTCTCTGCCCACTTCTCCACTTCCTCAGAAGAGTCATCGAATTGGGCTCCAATCCAGTCGGTTGCTGGTTGTGCTGTTTCTGTCCATTTCAAAGTCTAGACTTAGTCCAGTCCAAAACCATTTCCTATGATGATGTCACAACAACAGACAGCGTGGAGGTTGTATTTGATGTACAAACTCATACAATAGTACAAACACACGTGACCCTTGTGATGTTCAGGTAAAACACAAGGGGCAAGTTTCTGTATAACATTCAACACCTCAGAATTATTTACTTGGAAAACTATTTTTTCAGTTTCACATCATAGAAACACAGATCCTCAAATCTTGTCACAGACATCATGTTCCTGCCCCTGTCTGACTGAAAACCATTCAATTAAAGGTCACATCTGGAGCCTGTGCACCAGTTAAACCAACACTTTCCACATCTGTTCCAGTCAAATTCGAACCCACCCATGTAGTCAAGTAAATGAGTCGCCACATTTTCTGAACATTCTTATCATTTTCCGGCAAGTTTTAAAACGTCTCGACAATGAGAAGTGTACGTGTTCTTTTGCTTCTATTCACTGGGTTTTTGAAGAGTGATCCAGTTGCACTTGTCTGCATGAAATGAGGATGTACCGGCATCTCTTCAAAACAAAGCTTTACCTCATCTTTATCAGTGTCATTTTTTAAATATATACGCCTGTCGGTGAAGTGAAATTTATTGACTGGCTTCCGACAGTTACTATGTAAATGCAACGGGTCTGGATGATCATCCATGTTGTTCTGGAATTCCGGAACATGGCTGATCATCGTGATGGCACAACTGTCTACACTGTGTTTGTACAAGCTGACAGCACCGACTTGGCCCCGTCTAAAATCCTTGGTAACAGCTCCCCTATTCCAGTGCGATCTCCCACAGGGCTACGCTATGTGCTTCTAAACACCTTTTTGGCTTTTCCTTCCAAGTCCACTTTCAGTTCCCCCCTTTAAGGTAAGGCACTCGCTGGTGGCGAGAAAAGGCAGAAACAAGGAACAGAGATAAATATTCTCAACATCAATCTACATATTTTACAATTAATAAACTTTACTTGTCGGAGCTCTTCTGTCAGCGACACTTTTTTTCATAAGTATTTAAAGATCTAAGCATGAAAAGCTGATGCGGCAGTTTGCTGTGAAATTCTGGTGAAAGTTTATGAAAGCTCTTCTGAGATCTGAACATGGGAATGGACACTGAAAAGCACCTCCAAAAAGGTTTCACATTTCCACAGTACCAACCAAAGTACCACCAGATTAATTAACACACAACTGCCTTGGAAATTACACACACTAAAACACACACAGTAGTTTCTTAAAGTGATTTGGCACCAAAGTGGATTTCATCAACATGTTTCTGAGAAAGAAACGAGCAGCTGAGATCAGCTTATATCAGTCTGGAAGTCATGTGGTGCCAAATTCTGGTCAGTGTGTCCATCTGCAGTTGAAGGAATTCCAGACACGAGTACAAAGATACAGCAGCAGCCTTAAGGTCATATTGCTTCAGAATTTAAAGATGCAGTTTGTGAGATCTGAAACGTCAGAGGATTCAGTAGCATCACCAAAAACCCCCAAGACAAAAGACTTCAACAGCAGAAATCCTCAGAAGGTGACGGGTTCATCATCCCACTGACAAACTGCATATTTAATCTTTGATAATAAGTCAAGTGCTACATAAAGCACATCCTCTGGGCTCAGAATAATTCAGATAAAAGCTGCTGCTATGAGCCTGATTAATATAGGAGAGGATAAATGAGATAATTTACACTTAAACCCAAGGCCGGATGCAGATAAATGGGTCCGCATTTCACTCATTTACAGAGTGGCTGACAATAGAAATGATCATATGTTTGTTTTTGTATGTATTTATTATTTCTCTAATTAACAGATGATAAACATTGTCCCTCTACTTTATAGATTAAAAAAATAATTTTCAATTTCAACTTTTAAGGAGATATAATGAAACAGATTTAGAAAGAAACCAGCCTCTTTCTAATTAAACAAGTCTCATTAACATTATGAAATATCTAATGGGAAGAATAAGGAGGCACGTGCATGTTCACGCAGGTGAGGAGTAACAATTATATGCACAAAAATCTCTTTAGACGTGTGTTCGTGTGTAAAATGAATGAGACAGCAATATGCAGGGTTTTTTTGTAGGCTAATATAGAACTAATAAAATACCTAAATGAAAGCAAATCAATCAAAAAGTGAAATACAATACACATAAATATTATGTATTTCCTTTGTATCAATGCAGTTACTGTCATAATTCAGTAAGGACAACCACAGGATGAGACATTCAGATGTTTGGCTCTGTGTTTTAAATGCACGTGCATTACAAGTAAAGTGGAGCCAGACTGTGGCTTGTTACGCTGCATATTTTTTATTCCTTTTGCAGCTGGCAATGAATGATGGAGGGAAGAGGCCTATAATAACTGGACTGAATACATTTTAAATACTTTTACCACCTTAACTTTAGGTTTATTTTAAGCCTTTTTGAAGGATCTGTCTATACCCTGTCTTCAGAAGACACTTAATTGTCTCATTATGTCTTATGTGTGCAGAAGAACAGAAATCAATGCAGCAATATCTATGATGAGAGTACTGCAGAAGAATTCGTACATAAAACAGAAACAAATCACACATATAAAAAGTGTTTGGCTGTTTAAACTACATGATTAGGCAGTCATGATTTTTTACAGAAAGTAAAAACAAGCTGGTCCTCATGTACGCACAGGACAGGATGTTATGGACCACCCTGATAAACACTTTGCAAAGAAAAAACTAAGTGGCACTGTATCCATCCATTAAAACTTAGTTTAGCTTGTATACGGAAATGCAAAGCCTGTGCTTAAAGCCTGCATACAAAGAGTAATACTAAACAGGATGAAATTATTCTGCTGTGACTTGAGTCAACAGCACAGTATCACCAGCATAGAAACATACTGCAGCTAATCTGATACAATTTGGCCAAGATACAAGACAAGTTGTGGTTTGATTTTTGAGTTTAACTCATCGTACCCTGAAGCGCCATCAAGATTAAACCAAGACCCCTGATTGGCCAGTGGTATGTACCGTGGTGGGTTTTCATTAGTTGATTATTTTTATTTGAACTCACTTGAATGAAAAAGTTCATCCAAGTATATTCACACTTTAGAAAACTGTTCTCTGTTGCTGACAAGTTGCCAGATTTCCTGTTTACCATTTAGTATGGAGACAGAAGTCTGACCTCAGGTCAGCAGTTAAGAGTCAACAGTTTAGAAATGGAAACATTGGTCACAAGGCATCCTGAAGCGGCTGCAGTTCCAATCCCAGCTTCCAACAGGACTGAGTAGAAAAAAGAAAATATTTGGTCATGTCTCACTGTTTTCATTTATCCCAAACTCTTCAATCATCCTTTCTCGTGTGGCACTTTTTTTCTTCAGTCCTTAGATGGTCATATTCAACATCTGGTGTAGAGAAGCCAAACACAAAAAGCTATGTCTGAGGAGCATATAAACCCAACGCCCTAGCTACGATTAAAAAACTAACCCTTTGTTTTCACAGAGCTCCCACCTGCAGCCACATTATGATCGATCCTTGGTGTTTGTTTCAGGAGGCAAATCATACAACTGTAGTAGGTAACAATGCTTCAGTTTAAACCACTCTGAGCATATGGTAACACTTTGTTTGTCCAAAATTCTAATTCCTCATCTCTCCTGGAGTCCAATAACTCCTCCCCCCTTCAGTCCTTATATGTTCAACAGCATCCTGTGGCACCACTAGCCCCTCCCACTTCAGTCCTTACATGGTTGGTAGAGTCCATTAGCTCATCTGAGTCCTTAAATGGAAAAAAGCATCCTGTGTTTTAGTAGCCGCTAGCTCCTCACCCTGACCCCTCCATGGGGTCAGAGGTCAAAGGTCAGTAACCTTGTTTTCCAGGGCGGCAGCGATTTGTTGGAGGCGGAGGGTGAGCTGCTTATTCTGGGCTGCTGGGTCCTCATCCAGCGACTGGATGATCTGAAAAAGATGATCCCACAGACTTTAAAACTTCCATTTTTTTAAACTGAAGTTTGACCGGTGATAGAAGAACTACTGTAACGGTACACAATAGTGGGATTCCTCACCACATCATAGTACTTGCTGGCGTACTGGTACAGTTGATGTAAGGCCACCTCGGTGTTCAGTTTGTCCGTGTGTTGCTACAAAGTGGAAGCAAAGATTAAATATTAAAGCAGTTCAAATCTGAAGTAGACACCAACTGTTTCCATTAAAGAGTAGCTCAGATATTTCTGTCAGCCAGTGGAGAGGTACAAAATGGGAAACCAACTGGTAAACTGAATGATAAACTGCAGCGTACCATTGTTTATTCAAGGCTTGTTTAGAGGCTGTTTGCAGCCAGGCACACATAACAATGGCAGTTACAGTAGTAAAAGTGACAACACACACACACAAGCGGTTGTTCATACCCTGGACACCTCAGCGAGGTGTGTGTTCATGTCCTGGTCACTGACTGAAACCATCTGTCTGATGCCTTTGTAGTAACTGGGGAAAACACACACGCAGTCAGAACATCCAGTCATTTCCCAAACTACTTCAAGTGATCAAATGGCAATGACATTTGTCTCTAACTCGACCTGCCAGGACGAGATGATCTCCCGAGTAAAACTCCCCCATAGAAAATTATAAAAATAAAAATAAGAAAAAATCAAAGGCACTTTTCTGACCAAGAGTGAAAAGCCCTTATTCTGACGGCTCTCTCACCATGAGGATTAAAATCTATAAATATTCAAAATGCAGGTTAATGCCTGCTTGTTATGGAAAAAGCTGCTGTTGATGGCCCTCTAACACTTGATATCATCCTTCTGTATGTTCCATCAGCTCTGATTTTTACCTTTGCATTCATGTAAGCAAACTATCACTATATTACTAATAATCTGTTGTAGTTACTCAAACGTCAATACATTTTCATCCGTATGCGTCGCTGTCGAGTGGAAACCTTACTTAGCATGTGTATTGTTACACATATCTGTTTGTTTGGTGTGTACTAGTGGAACAAACTCACTCGTCCACCATCTTCTTGTAAGTCGAAATCTCTTTTGCATAGAGCAGCTTGTTGCTCGGAGACTCCTACAGTCAGAGAGAGAGAACAGATTAAAGAGCTCTGGTTATTTCTGAGGCTTCTTAGGATGAACTTCAGAACTTTGTTCTGTGTAGAGTGGAGATGTTTTACAGAGAAAACCCTTTCTCAGATTCAACTACAGTGACAGCAGCGACAGCAGCCAGTCAAAAACTGTCAACATGTTTTCAGCTCAAGACGATCCTGGTGTTAAAATTCACAAATTTCCTTCCAGCTCATTGTTGATGACAATGAAAGTGATGAAAGCTGGAGCTGACAGGCACATGTCTCCAGATGTTGAGTTGTAAGCGGCAGCATATGTTAGCACCTCTGGTGAGACTCAAGCCCCATTCAGACAACATCACAGGGGGAGGTGGGGAATCTTCACTGAGTTTCTCTTTTAACTCATCGCTCCGGACAGACGCCCTTCGTTACAGGATCTAGTCCGTAATAGACATGGACGTGCCAAAACAGGAAGACAAATACCTCCTCAGGGGGGCACCAGAGAGCTCACAGGACGAAAAATATCGTGTGAGCCGAACTCGATTTTGAGTTTTTAGTCAAAAATAGCCGAGTGGTAATCTACTGTACAGCCACATGACATTACAACAGCATGTTTAAGGAGCTTTTATCAGGTCTTCTTCTCATGATGGCTGTAATTTTGTTTCCCCAACAGGTTTAAATGTTGGTGTTAGCATGTTCATGAATCATTTCAGCAGAAGCATTTTTTGACTGCTTCCAGTTTCTCACACAAGTTAAATTTCCCAGTGGGCTGATTGAAAACAGAAGAACGACTTACTTTAAAATACAAGTATGTCACTATGGACAGGATTTAAAAAAAAAATCACCACACCTCCATGAATCCAGTCTGAATGGGGCTTCAGACCCAAAGAGCATCAAGTCTAGTTTGCCTGATCTGTGTGTGTGTGGACTGACTCGGCTGAGTTTGTGCTCCGTCTTGGTGCAGGCGTCCATGAAGGTCTGAGAGATGACATGCAACGAAGCGTCCACCACCTCTGTCACGTGGACGTCGAAGATGAAGTGGGGGTTCCTCAGGATGTTCACCCAGAAGCGCAGAGGCAAGCTGAGGACAGAGAAACACTCGGGTCAGGACTCCTGAAACCGATACCACTGTCTTGACACCATTTAGTCAAAGTCAGTTAAAATATGGCTTATTATATTCAAGTTAGACTGGGATGCTAGATCTCAAGGCAACTTTATATACTGTAGGACATTTCATACATAAGCAGTTCAAAGTACTTTACAGTGAATAAAATACACTTAAAATAAAAAAATGAATTAAACTGACCTATGGTATATATTTGCATAAAAATACTATCAAGATAACACTCAGTTAAACAAAAGGTTTTGGAAAACAACCAGGCTTTAAGTGTGGATTTAAATTTGGTGCTTGTCTCAAGTTTTCAGGCAACACGATCCAATGATAAGCAGCCTGGAAACCAAAAGCTGCTTCTCCGTGTTTAGTTCCGATCTGACGAATGGTCACCAGGCCAGTTCCTGATGTTCTGAGGGTTCCAATAAGGGGTGAGGAAATGAGAAATATATGTAGGACCAGGGAATATAATATGTTCTGACATTTTATTCACTGAACAATCAGTCAGTTATTAGAGAGAGTGAGTGTCGGAGCGGAAGCTGCCTTACACTTCTCCTCTGATGGAACAACACTACATTACTCTACCCAAGGTCTGCGGTGTGTTAAAAAATTAAAAACTCTGTGTCAAGTCCTCTGACGAGAAGGAGGACAAAGGATGTAACTTTACAACAAGTGCTCATTTAATCAAATGATGTAGACGGAAATGATGTGGAGTCAACCAGGGGCTGTGGGGGCCTCTGCAGAGCCGGGGCCCCTGGTCAGCTGCTCATTTTGCCTGACTGGTAATCGAGCATTAATAGTCACTAGCTGGAAATGAGAAGCTGTTTTTTTAGCCACGCTTTCCAATATTTTTCCAGACCTGCTGATGCACTGTTCATCTCCCTCCATTCTTTCATCTCCTCCTCCCTCCACAGACCATAACCCCCGTCAATAATTCACAACTGATGAATATTTCATTGTCCAACTAGTTTGTGTGTGTGTGTGTGTGGTGTGTGTGTGTGTGTGTGATGACTGACAGACGAAGCTCTAGCCCAGTGTGAAAGCAGAGAAGTTGGAGGGAAAAGCACTCTCCGTCTCCGTTTCCTCTGTTCTGTCATCGTTTATCTGTCCTGATAACAGCCTGCCAATTAAATCAGGCTTTCATGTGGTCGACTGCCTGGTTTAGCAGAGGACATAATTACACTCTAGTTAAGCTGATGAGGTATAACACACACACACACAGCTTGAGAAGCAGTATAATTATTTCTCTTAGCAGAGCTTCTTCCCAGGTCGAATCCCCAGCTGACGCTCAGAAAAGCCTTGAAGAGAAGCCGACAGACGCTGAATCAGTTAAGGCTCACACATCAACCAGTCTGAGGCCTCTACTGGCGTCAGAGGAGCGGTGGCATCTCCGCCTTCCACCCGGTACTCCTCTGGATACTGATCACACACCTGGAGATGCTGATGTCTCCCCTGAACGACATTATTCATGTTGTACAGCACAGTTATGCAGTTCATCCTAAAATCAGTCTACTGACAAAACCAGTTTCTGAGAATTGATTCTAGGGAAGACAAAAACTGCTTGTGACATGTCAGGTGTGAGGATGTGGTGCTTTTTAATGTTTTACATCATTGTGAACTGAACACATTTGAACTGCTGGTTGTAAAAATAATTAATTCACTGACCTAATCTTGTGTTCTGATGAACTTTAATGAGCGACTTTCAATCTTTTCTCAAATGATTCATTGGGAAGATAATCAACATTCACCACAGTCTGATGAAATGTCAACATTTCCATCGGGAACATTCACACACCAAGATAAAGGCTACCTTGTGTCTTCTGTGTGCACATGTTGCACAGCAAGCCACACAGTGCATATCCCAGCTCTACCTGTTGGTCTTCCAGATGTGCAGCGTCTCCTCATCAACGTTGTCGTGTCTCAGCGCCTGCTCATCCAGGAAGTCAAAGAAGTATTTGACGGCAGGAGGGACAACGGAGCTCAAGCCTAATACACTGCGGAAGAAATCATCCACAAACTGCTGCAATGTGCCCTGCAACACACACACAAACACACACATAAGTGAATGAAATCAGCAGTAGATTTCCAGACACAAAGAATCACTGGAAGTGATTCATTATTTCTACTGGTTACAATAAAACTGAGTAAAAACAGGAGTGACAGAGACGAAAACAGTTTGTGAGCGTTCAGACGTGTTTGTGCATCAGGCTGTTTTCATACCTGCACAGTCCTGTTGTGTTAGTCCAGCCAGTTTTAATGAGCCTCTCTAAAGATGTTAAATACATCAGTTCACCATTACGTTCACTTTAACACAAAAGTAAAATCACTGCAAACAAACATGACGAGGTGAGAAGATCAGAGGCCAGCGGTGTGAGTCACAAGAAAATCACCATTTGTTTCTGGCACAAATCTCAGGCTCTAGATTTGGAACTAATGAAAACGTAATGAGAGAAGTGCTAAACAGAAACTGGCTACAGACACTTCACTTCCTGAGGGTGCTCAGGAGGAACAACACGGGGAGGAGAACGCCGACTGCCGTCTACTGAGCAGCTGTGGAGTCCATGCTAACATACTGTGTTTCAGCGTGCTGCACACGCTGCTCTGCTGCAGGTAAAAGTCACTGCAAAGGGTAGTGAAAGCAGCAGGAGAAATCATTGGCTGCCATGTCTGGAGGACAGAGCAGCTTCACGTCGTCTCAGTAGAGTTAAGAGCATTGTTAAGGATCAGCCAGGGCACACACCTCCACATTGAGGGAGTTTCTTTCCCACTGCTGTACTGAACTCTAATATGCACTGATAATGGGACAATGCTGCTATGTTGTTACACCTCATGCTTTAACAGTGCTAACGTGCAGCATAACTTTATTTTTATTTTATTCTCTTTTATGACTGTTGCTATTCAGTGTCCTGTGTTTTTAGTGTTTTCGTTTTCCCTCCTTATGCACCAAATGGAGCTGCACACCTAATTTTATTGTTGACAGAGCATACGGTGACAATAAAGTAATTCAATTCGATTCAAACAGCCTGCATTATGTTGAGGTTCATGGTGACTATGATCGATCTCCACACACCAGCATCTGATTTGTTGTCATGTCTTGTGTGCGTTTGTGTTTCTGCTAGAGGCAGCTTTGGATCATCCCTTTTTGTACGTCATTTCCTGTACAACACCAGACTGGTGTTAATACAGACTAGACATTTTATAAAAAATAACATAGGTATATTAAATTTGCAGTGTTTTTGTAGCAGCTCCTGCAGGTTTTCCTCTCAGGCTGCAGTTACAGCCTCAGACACACACACACACACACACACACACACACACACACACACACACACAGTACCTTGACGGACAGCAGCCTGGTCAGATAAATCTCAGTGATGGCTTTTGTCATCGCCTTGTCCTTCATGCTGCCTCTCTTTGACTTCACCTCATCGATTTCATCTGTTGGTCTCACCAGGTGGAAGGTGTTGTCCTCCTCCAGTAGCGCGTTTTCTGTACACAGAGACACAGAGGCTTCTTACACTGTGTCCTCTGACAGCATGAACAGCTGAAACTAAAACATCTGTTTAAAAACACTCTGTCCAGTCAGTCCAATGAGGAAATGTCACCAAAAAGTCATGGAACAATTATTTGACTGTTGAAGTAAAGGTGAGTGTTACTGTAGCAGTAAGACAAGACTTTTAAGGCAAAACTTTATCAGGTGATTTCACGTTCTTTGCAGTGGCAGAAGGTTCAGAGAGAGAGTGTGTGTGTGTGTGTGTGTGTATGTACATACTCTCCTCATGGCTGTCTTGTTGCTGGTGGAACGACTGTGTGTGCAGAACTCTGGACAGGACCAACGTGGCGTTATCCCGAACCTGGAAGATAAGAAGTGATTACAAGAAAAACCATCTCGGTCCTGATTCAGTCTGATTGTCTGTAGCACAGTTACCGAGGGGCGGCGTCTAAGTGTCACAGGGGAGACTGGACGAGTGCTTTAGTTCCTGCTGCTTTTTATGCAGCACGAGGATGAATCACTTCTGCCTCACTGCATTTTCAGAATTGATTAATCAGCAGATTATACTAATCAATTAATGTTTCTTGCCTATAAAATGTCCATTCTATTTTCCAGATTCAAGATGGAGTCTTCACATTTGCTTGTTCTACAGTATCTGACTCCAAAGACGTTTCCCAGTTTACTGTCAGATATGACAAAGAAAAATCGATTCCTCACTTCCTCAAGATGCTTTATTTTAATGTTGACTTAAAACATGGCCAAGCTAGACTTTTATATAGCACAACATCACAACCCACAGATTTGTGACAATGTTACCCGTTGTGTAATATTAAACATAGCAATGATGGCTTATCACATGACCACTGCTCTTCAGGTTGCAGATGGAAAGTCAAGTTGGAAAGGGTAAAAGTTGGTTACTATCAAAACTGAAAATCTTCTATCAGCACTTATTACAGAGCTTGTGTGTTTAAAAATTTAAATCTTGACAAAATTTTAGCTAAGGAAACTCGAGTTGTGCAGTGCAATTAGATTTGACATGCATCAGAGCTCAACCTGTGCAAATGTGGAGCTGAAATCGACGAGTTCGGTTAGCGTAACCTGTTCGTGATATGACAGAGATCAGGTAAATACATCTTCATGTTTATTTTAATATTCAACATCAGTGCACTGTGCTGAGGACTGTTTCACTCAAGAATCAGTGAACACACAAACACAGTAAGGAACATTTCTGCACTGAATAAAGCTGATGATCAGCTACGTCCGTAACGTCCTGGAGGCACATGAACATGAGACTGAACTCACGTTGTAATGAGCCAGAGTGTTCAGCCTCTTCCAGCGTCCTTCTTTCAGGGAGGTCAGGTCGAGGTCGGACAGGATCTGCCCCGTGGAACCAGGACGCCACTCTGTGGACAGGACACAGCATCACAATACAAGAGGTCTGCTGGAGAGAGAGAGGACTGACCAGCTGGCTATTACTTTGTTACACTCAGGGCTCCCTAGCAACAACAGACCACCTGATTAAATTAAGGTTACATTGTACAAAAACTCACCAAAGCTGCTAAAAATGCACCTGATATGAATTTATGACGGGACTAAATGTGAGTCCTATTTATCTGCCTCCGTCCGTATGTTGTGATTTGGCTGCTGTGACAGTGCAGAGACCCTTTGTGACTAATTAAGCACTGTTTTACACTCACAGTCTATTAGAGTGTTGTGTAAGACTGCTTTTATATCTTAACTAAAGTTCACTCTTTAAATATAAATCAGTCAGATTTTTTGTGGTTCTCTTTTTATTCTGTGGCTCTGACCCGCACTGTGACGCTGCAGTTCCACTACAGACCTGCAGGGGCAGACAAACCTGTGAACCTGCTTTGAAGCTGTGTAGCTTTGCGTATTTTTTCCATTTATTTAAATCCCAAAGTAATGACTGTTAGTAATACCACTGTTTCTAGAGTGTTTCAGATATTTGATTTCTGCATCTCACCCAGTGCAACACTCTCCACCTTTGGTCTCTGCGAGTAGGGTAGATTCCTATAGACCTGATCAATGATCTTCTCTTTTACCTGGAGAGCAGAAAATTAGCATTTTACCTGTCAAAATATGCACCAACACAGAAACAAAAATAATATTTAACTCAAATTTATCAGCACTGAACAATAATGACAGATATTGGACAAATATCAGGGAAGATGGAGCCTTACAACTGGCAGAAAGTCAACTCTTTCTTTAAGGCAACCACATGGACCCAAACCCACCTGGGTGATTGTGTCACAGTTCAACACCTTCACTGGAGTCACATCCGGTCCCTCCCCGTGCACCAGAACCTGCAGGGTCTGACACCACAAACACACCCGTCAGCCACACACTAACCCTCACTAATCCAGAATAAGTGCAGAGCAAAACACAACTGGTTCAGTGTTGATTATTCTGGTTCTCACTTCACCAATTAAAACAAAGAAAAAAGATTTATCTGTTAATCACCAACTGTTCTAGCTCTATGTAATAATTAAAAATGATGCCACATTAACATGATAGCAACTAAACAGGTAAGTATCAGAAATTTTTAACAATGTCTCTGACACCAGGAAACTGTTGCAGGCACAGAACAAAAAAATACAATATTAATCCTGCCACAATAAATTTTACAGCAGATCTACACAGTTAATGTATTTGGTTTCACAAACTGCTACAATTATGTAACACAACAAAATAAAATAATTTAATCTGGTGTGACGACAGGTTAGCCCCAGGTGCTAACTAACCACCTCTGGATAAAGTGTAAACACTCCGAGTTCAGAACAGGGAGCTTCTCCTGCTCTTCCATCCTGCTGACATTTCATGAATGTCATTTTTTGGCCAAATATCTAAATTCTGATTTCACAGTTTTTTCTATTCTGGTAACATGAACGTGAGGAGGAAACACATAAAAAGCTTTAATGGTCTAAAGTACTGGCTCTGGCCTACTACAGTGTTTGTGTGTACTAACCAGTACAGAGTACTCCACATCGTCCCCCAGGAGTCCTGTATCGTTCAGTGTGTATTTGGCTTTCTTCATCTTGGCGTCCACTGGCCCCTTTTCCACCTGGTGCTTCAAGGCCTTATACAGCTTGTATAAAGGCTCTCCTGCTGTGTCCTGCATGCACACACGCACACACACACCATGGTCTCATCAACACTGATACTAGTGTGACTGGTGATCACAACACTAACAGCGAATCCAGAGCTCCCTACTCTCAGCCAATCAGCAACCAGCAAGTGTAAACCTACTGAAACTATATTTCCTATGAAGCAATAAACTGTGGTTGCTATTATAACCGATTCTAATCCGATATCTATTTAGGTCTATTTTTCTCTGTATCTACTTGTTAGGTCTTCTTCAAGTGTTTAAGTACATTTTGTACAACAAACTTTTTCTGTGAAAGTCAAATATCAAACAAAAGAACCATGATAATTGCACCCTGGTTAGCAGTTACACTTACACTGTCAGGATTTGTTTGGCTTGAGGAACTAAATAAACAATGTCCATAGTGTGAAGTCTTGGTCTGGAGCCCAAGTGTGAACCCAGCTCTTGGCATGAAAATGTTAAATTATAGAAACACTGAAGATCAGCACAACATATGAGCTGCTGCTGTCAGGAGCAACTTTTCAAATAGCCCAAACTGGCCACAAAGAAACCATGAGGCAAAAACACAGGCTTCAATAAAGTTTCTTAGGGTCAGTTATAACTGAAGGAATGAGAGCGGGAGAGAGAGCAAAGACAAAGCCGAGGGAAGGTAAACAACAGAGCAAGTGAAAGAATCTGTTACCCTGAGGAACTGGTAGAGACAGATAGACATCCAGTTACACAGCATCCTCTCCACCACTGTCTCTGACCTACATACACACAGAGAGACAACAGAAGCAAACATTAGGACAGACGCCTTCATTTTAAACTTGTGTATCATTGTAAAACTTCAGTGCAATCAAATTAAAATATATAAATACAACTGCAGCCTATATTACAGCCTCATTGCATATCCAGCAGCTCAGTGTGTGTCCTGTCAGAACGCCTCACTCTCAGGCAGCAGCTATCAGACGTCCTCACCTCCTGAGCATTAGTTTGGGGTTTTTGCTCTGCACGTGCTCGTCCATCAGCTCCAGCAGCAGCGTCCTCATGATGTCAGTGTAGTACTCCAGTTTGCCGTGCAGCGCCACCGTCAGCAGAGAGGCGAAATAACCACGCGAGCGAGCGTTGAAGTCAGGACGACTCTCCAATGTGTGGATGAACTAGAGCCAGAGAACACAGAGGCTAGGTTTGACAACAAAACGGAGAGACAGAGAATAGACGGAGCAGGAGGACAAACTCACTTTAATTGTGGGAGAACTGGTTGAGCGCCTGAGCCACGATGGTCCTGCGGGCCTCTGGGATTTGGATTTTTCCCGTGAACATGGCATCGTTAACACTATCCTTGGAGGGCAGGAAGAAGTTTCGGTCGGTGTAGTTTTTGTAGTCCAGGAAGGGGATCCGGGCCTCGCTCAGGTCGCTGGTGTGGTCCTCCATTTCAATCATCAGGTCTGACAGACAGAGAAGATCATCAGATACCCAGGCGTTTGTATGCAATAAGGCACCATTTATAAAGTTTTTATAAGCTGTAATCAGTTGTTTATACATCACTATTAATATTTTATTGATTATTTATAATAC